ACCGAGTGCGCGACGCTGGCCAGGTAATCTGGGACCTCAGCGAGCGCAACTCCGAGTTGTGCCGCCAGCTAGAGGAGGTTCGGGTTGGGTCGGGCCCCGAGGCGGTAGCGGCCGCGGAAAAACACGCGACCGATTCCGAGGAAGAGGTGGCGCGCCTAAGAGCAGAGCTGGAGCAGTCGGGCGATTCAGTCAAGGAGCTCCAGGAGTTCCTCCGTTTGGATCGGGCCGAGCTTCGCCTGTTGAAGTCGGAGGCGCTTGGTCTCGCCAAGAGGGCAGAGAAGGTCGAGGCCGAAGCCCGCGCTGCCTCCGATGCGCTGGCCGAGGAGGTTCGCCTCCGTCCATCGAAGGACAAGGAGGCGATTGAAGCCTACAAGAGGTCCGAGAACTTCGAGCTCGGGCTGACCCGAATGGGACGAGTATCCTACGAGTATGGATACAGAATCACCCTGGGTCGCTTCTGTTCATGTCCTCCTGGTTCCGAGGTGGAAAAGGACCCGTTCGCCTCTCACCCCGTGGATCTGGAGGTGGACATGCCGGAGGACGTGCCGTTCGACGACCGCCCGAAGACTCCAGGAGAGTAGTGAGGGTCGTTTTTGTATGTCGGGGTCGAGGGTGTGAGGGGTTTCTGTATGGGTTTTGGCTTCTGTATCCCCTCATTTTTAATAAAATGATCTTTTTTTTCGTTTTCTGTGTTTGCGTAGTGCCTACATCTTCAGACGAAGTATTTTCTAAGGTTCTGTATGTTCCAAGTCCGGGGCACGGGGTCGCCATCCATTGTTGCGAGTCGGAACGTCCCCGGTCGGGATACTCCGATGACCCGATAGGGTCCTTCCCACTTCGGGGTCAGCTTCCCCCTTGCTTGGGTTGGGCGGCTGACCTCGATTTTGCGTAGGACCAGGTCCTCTAATTTTATTAATCGGGGTCGTACTCTCCGGTTGTAGACCCTCGCTATAGCTCTTTTGTAAGAAAGAGCTTTCTGGTGTGCGTTGGCCCGTCTTTCATCGAGTAGGTCCAGGTTGGATCGGAGCCCTTCTCCCGAGGCCTCTTCGCTGTAGACTGCCGTCCACGGAGTCGGGATGGCTACTTCGGATGGCAATACGGCCTCGGTCCCGAACGTGAGGCTGTAGGGAGACTCCCCGGTCGGGGTCTTGGGGGTAGTGCGCATCGCCCATAGGACGCTCGGGAGCTCGTCGATCCAAGCCGATCGGGCAACGGATACCCTTCTCTTGAGGCCGTCGACGATGGACCGGTTGGTTACCTCAGCTAGCCCATTCGCCTGGGGGTAAGCCACCGAGCTGAACCTCAGCTGAATTTTGTGCTTGGCGCAAAACTCTTGGAATCTCCTGTCGGCAAATTGAGGTCCATTGTCGGTGACGATGGACTGGGGCAGGCCGAATCGAGTTATGAGGTTTCTCCACACGAACCTTTCCACTTGTGACTCCGTAATGGTCGCTAGGGGCTCGGCTTCGACCCACCTGGTAAAGTAGTCCACTCCCACGATGATGTACTTCCGCTGGCCGGAGGCGGGTGGGAGAGGCCCGAGTATGTCCAGTCCCCATTGCGCGAACGGCCAGGCACAATCGACAGGGGTGAACAGGACCGCCGGCCGTCGGGCGGTGCGGGCGTGCTCCTGGCACGAGCTGCACCGCCGCACGAAAGCTTTCGCGTCCTAGCGCATGGTCGGCCAGTAGTACCCCTGTCGGAGTATCTTGTGCGCCAGGGCTCGTTCGCCTATGTGTTCCCCGCAGGCCCCTTCATGCATGTCGGACAGAATGGTCCGAGCTTCGTTCGGCTCTAGGCAACGTAACAAGGGGCGCGAGAAGGACCGCTTGTACAGCCGTCCTTCCTCTTCGATGTACCATGCCTGCGTCCGACGCAAGCGTCGAGCCGTGGTTTCATTGTCGGGTAGGGCCCCATCCCGCTTGAAGCGTAGCATCTCCTGTACCCAAGTGGCCGGCGCGCCGCCCGTGACCGTGGCGACGACCTCTATGGCTCGGTGGGGGAGCACTTCGGTCTCGGGTTGAGCCTAGGGGGCCGAGCCGGACGCCCATTTTGCCAGGGTGTCGGCTCGCTGGTTCTCGCTCCTGGGAACATTCGACAATTCAAAATGGGCGAACTTGGTGGCAAGGCTTTTTACCTGTGCCAGATATTTCGCCATAGTCGGGTCCCGGGCTTCGTATCCGCCGTCGAGCTGCCTAGCCACCAGCTGTGAGTTGGTGATGACGCGTATGTCGGTCACCCGCATTTCCAGTGCCAACTGGAGCCCCGCCAGGAGAGCCTCGTATTCTGCCTCGTTGTTGGTGGCCCTGAACCCGAAGCGGAAGGAGCGCTCGATCGAGCGGCCGTCAGGTGTCACCAGCACCAGCCCTGCACCGGCGCGTTTTGCGTTGGCCGACCCGTCTACGTGGAGGGTCCACGTCTCACGCGGTGGCTCGAGTTCCTCGCCTGTGTTCGGGGTCAGCTCTGCAATGAAGTCTGCCACGGCCTGGGCTTTGATGGCGGTCCGTGGTATATACTGTATGTCGTGCTCGCTGAGCTCCACTGCCCATTTGAGGAGACGCCCTGCAACGTCGAATTTAGACAGAACAAGCCGGAGCGGCTGGTCAGTTATTACCTCTATCGGGTGGGCCTGGAAATAAGGGCGGAGCTTTCGCGCCGACAGGACGAGCGCCAGCGCCAGCGCCAGCGCCAGCTTTTCGATTGGCGGGTAGCGTTCTTCTGGCCCGCTCAGCATGTGGCTGACATAGTAGACCGGCAGTTGGTCGCCGGAGTTTTCTTTGACCAGAACCGAACTGACCGCGTGCTGGGAGGCGGCGAGGTAGAGACTCAATTTCTCCCCAGGGGAGACTGAAGCGAGTCGGGGGAGGTTGGCCAGGTGTTGCTTCATCCGCTCGAAGGCCCTCTCGCATTCCGTCGTCCATCGGAAGTTCTTCGGATCCTTCAGGGCCTGGAAGAAGGGGAGGCAGCGATCTCCCGATCGAGAAAGAAAACGTGATAACGCGACTAGCCTCCCGTTAAGGCGCTGCAGGTCTCTGATCGTCCGAGGAGGCTGCATGTCAATGATGGCCTGTATCTTTTCCGGGTTGGCGTCAATCCCTCTCTCATGTATGATGAATCCGAGGAATTTTCCTGAGGTCACGCCGAAGGCGCACTTGGCGGGGTTGAGGCGCAGGCCGAACCTTCGCAGGGTGTCGAATGTTTCAGCTAGGTCGGAAGGATGGGCCTCCGCCGTTCGGCTCTTTACGATCATGTCGTCGACATATATCTCCATGTTTCGTCCAATCTGGTGGCGAATATCCTGTTCACCATCCTCTGGTAGGTTGCCCCGGCATTTTTCAACCCGAACGACATGACTTTGTAAAAATATATCCCTTGCTCGGTGAGGAAGGCTGTGTGTTCTTGGTCTTCGGGTGCCATCCTGATCTGGTTGTACCCGGAGAATGCGTCCATAAACGAAAGACGGGCGTGGCCGGCCGTGGCGTCAACTAGCTGGTCGATCTTCGGTAGGGGGTAGCAATCTTTTGGGCAAGCATTATTGAGACTGGTGTAGTCAATGCACATCCGCCAGCTTCCATTAGGCTTTTTGACAAGGACTACATTGGAGAGCCACTGTGGGTACCTCGCCTCTTCTATGAAACCGGCCGCCAGAAGTCGGTTTACCTCTTCTCGGATGGCCAGTTGCCGATCCGGGGCCTGCCGCCTGGGTCTCTGTTTTACCGGGCGGGCGTCGGACGAGATGTTCAAGTGGTGCAGCGCGACTTCCGGGTGGTCTCCGACTAGGTCAGTCGGCGTCCAAGCGAAGATGTCAGCGTTGGCTCGTAGAAGGCCGACGAGCTGCTGTTGCTCTTGTTCGGGCAGTCCCGACCCGACTTTGACTGTTTGGTCGGGCCTTCCTTCGATCAGTGGCAAGTCAATGGTGGATTCCTTCGGCTCGAGGCGGGGGGTCGGTTTTTTTCCCTCCCGGGGGTCTTCCAGCGGGGATTGGATCCTCGCTCTCTTGTTTAGTGACACAGCGGTCAAGTAGCAGCGCCTGGATTCCCAGGAGTTCCCCGCCACTTCCCCGACCCCATCGTGGGTCGGGAACTTGATGGTTTGGTAGTAAGTTGAGATGACGGCTCGAGTCTTGTTGAGGGTTGGCCGTCCGAGGATGGCGTTGTATGCCGTGGGGAGGTCGACCACCAGAAAGGAGGTCATCACTGTTTTTGCCTTCGGGAAGACTCCCAAAGTTAGGGGCAGGGTGATGACCCCTAGTGACGAGATTGAGGCGCCGGTGAACCCCGTGAGTGTTGAGCATACCGGCTTCATGTTCTCCTTTACCAGACCGAGCTTTTGGAAGGCGTCCCAGTAAAGTATATCGGCCGAGCTTCCAGTGTCGACCATGATCCTTCTCACTTGCGCGTTGGCGATTCTGACTGATATTACCAACGCGTCATCATGTTCGGCTGGTTCAGGTCCCCCGGTCGGGAAGGTGACTTCGGGGCCTTTTTCATGTTTGGAGGCTTCAGCCCGGGAGGCCCTGGCGTATGCCCTTCCGCCCGCCATGGAACTCCCTCCGGACGCTGGTCCGCAGGTTATGACATCTATGTGCCGCTCGATGGGGCTTTCCGGGCGTGGCGAGAGCTCCTTGTCTGGTCGGAGGTATGAGCCGAGGTGCCCTCAGCGGATGAGCTCCTCAATTTGCCTTTTTAATTCTCGACACTCCTCGGTGTCGTGACTGGGCTATCGGTGGAAACGACAGTATTTAGAGCGGTCCGCGAGTTCGCGCGGGCTCCTCATCGGGTAGGGGTCTTTGAGAAGGCCTTTCTCCTTAATGTGGAGAAATATTTCGGTCCGAGAGGAGTTCAGGCCCGGGGGAGGGGACCTAGGTGCCGCATCGTTGAGGCCGCCGGCCCTACGCCGGGAGGCAGCGGCTGTTGTTGTTGGGACTGCTCTGGCTTGACCCTCTTGCACTTGTCGTGCCTCCCGACCATCCATGCCTCAGCAGCGATGTACTGGTTCGCACGCTGCAACATTTCGGGAACCGAAGTGGGGGGTCGCTCCACCAGAGACCAAAAGAATCGGGTAGGGCGCAGGCCCATCATGAATGCCTGCATCATCAAAGAAGGGTGAGCATCAGACAGCCCGCGGATTTGTGTGGTGAAGCGGTTCACAAAGTGAGAGAGGGGCTCATCCTTCCTCTGGTTGAGCCCGAGGAGCATCGCCACCGACGGCTTCGGTTTGGCATGAGCCAGGAAGTTAAGCTCAAAGTCCCTGGCCAATTGGTCGAAAGAGGCGATGGTCGCGGTCTTCAGATTGCTGTACCACGCTCGGGCTGGGCCCCGCAGGGTTGTCGGGAATGCCCTGCACATTAGGGCATCGGATATCCCGTATAGCGCCATTTGGGCGCGGAAAGCAGCTACGTGGTCCGCCGGATCGGTGGCACCGTCATAGGCATCCAATGACGGGAGCCGAAAATGCGGCGGGATTGCTTGCTCTTGAATCTCGGGGGTGAAGGGGGACCCCTGGTGTCGCTCGGCCCCCGGGTCTCCCCTGGTCCGGCGAACCTCACGCTGCACCTCGTCCAGCCGGCGGCCTACGAGGCGTAGCTGGGCCCACAGGCCCTCCGCCGAGTCTGAAAGTTTGGCCACGGGCGTCGGGCGCGCCGCTGGTTCCTCCGCTCCTCGGCTCCCTGGTTGGGTCGATTGGTCCGGAGGCGAAGCGGGAGACTCGGGGAGCGGTGCGGGGTTTTGAGCGGTGGGCCGTTGCCGTGGTGGAGGTAGGGTTGAGTGTGAAGACGTCGGGGGAGAGACCAGCGGGATGATGGTCTGCATCACTCCCGTAAGAGCCCGGACCTGGTGCGTGAGGTCGTAGAAGGCTTCGGGTGGCACGGGTGACGGGCCACCGGGATTGGCGATGGGTGGCGATAGACCCGGATCGTTGAACAATCGCCAATAGCGCTCCGAGATCGCAGCGGGGCGCTCGTCCTGAACCCCCTCCTGTTGGGGATGTTCTTCCGTTGCGTCGGTCGTGTGCGACCGGACGACCGGGGGTTCGTCGGAGTGAGCCTGTTGATCGCTTGACATTCGGACCGGCCCTCCTTCTAGCGCCATTA